CTGCCAAACAATTCTTATCACGTTAGTTTGGAGAATCTGATATTGGATCAACTATTAATCCTCTATCTGATATATATACATATAAATATGTATATATTTTTTTTCTCATCACTTGTCTTCTTGATATTGTAATGATATTGTAAGGTGAAATTCTCTCTTAGTCATTCATGGGAGTTAAAATGTTAAAGAGATAATTAAGAAATTTTCATTCTGAGATGAACTCCTTCGTCAATAATAACTCCCGTCTCTTTTTGTCTCCTTTAGAGTTCCGTAGGTTTGATTAAGCTTGATTCCTTCAGTAATTCGTCTTCAGGAATATTTGTTGGAACAACTTCACCGAATCCCAAAAAAACTGAGTATGCCTCTATTTGTTATTGTCATCTCGTCCTACGTGTCTTGATTCTAGTTTTAGTCGTGCAATCCCCAAATTTTTGACAATCATGATACTTGTGAAATTTATTAGAACTTTACCATTCAGATCCCACACAATTCGCAAAAAAATTCTGTGTGCAATGTTCTGTCTGATCAGAAGGACCGGCTTTCTTCGGTTGTTGACCGGCCTAACACTCAGGGTTAGTAATATGCTGCATTTGCCGCTATGACATCTGCAAATGGTTAGATGATCTAGTCCTTTCAAGTTAGTACGTAAAATCGCCGTAGGTCCTCTCTACTGCATCTTCTCAGCAGTAATTAGTGGGTTAAGACCCCACACCCTTAGTGCAAGGAGTACTGAACATAGCTCCCGATTTTGTGGTCTGGCCTTGTTTCAAAAGATTGAAAAATTGAGGGCATCTGCAAATTCACTCTCTAAAATTGTCAACTGCTCGGTGCAGTCTGGCAAAAATCATCCGCAGTGTTGTAAAGCGCATTAGAGGTCAGGGTTGCCGACAGGGATAGAAAGAGGTAGAATGACACCAGTTACGGTACTTCACTATCCGGGAGATCAGAAACCGTGGTATAACATTTCTCTGGCCTTCCTATGAGAGACCTTTTGTATGTACTAGGATTTATATTTAGGACGGGCACGATCCAATTGAGAGTCATGATCTCTGATTGCTCCTGCAAAACAACTAGTGCCATCTAATCACCTTGACTATTTAACCACACACTTTTCTTGCGAAATAGGCCTTTAGTCAAGTCTTCATCGACTTGTTTCAAAAAATTACAAAATCTTCTGTTGTTCGCCACTGGTAATATCCTGGGTTGGCTTCAAGACTTCACTCAGTCGAAGGGCATCCATCAACACGCTAAGCTTGTCACTCACTGACAAGCCACACTTAGAAAGTCGTGTGGCCTCCCCTTGCGTTTGAGTTTCACGCGCGCGAGTTTCACACATTATCAACAGAGTCCCTCGTATTCTAGTCATGATAAGGACTGGCGAGACCGAAATATCTTTCCATTATGCTTTGTTATTGAGGTTACTAATTTGTTTTTCCATCTCGTTCAATAACTCTTTACAAACTAGAGCATGACGAGATGATTAGAGGGGGTATCATGCGCACGTTTTGAGAGATTCACCAAGGGCTATCCTCACGTGCCGCATGTGCGTGATCTTTTCCCATGTATTTACATCACAGCATCTTCACTTCCGTTTGACTGCATGGACAATACAGTCGGTGACAGAATGACCTTACTGTACTTTTTAAATAACTTATTAATATGGATGATCTTTGAAAGAAAAACAAAAGCAAAAGACAAATAATTAAGCTGAGTATCGTCTGACTTTTTTCCACACTAGTGCGCGAGACTTCATTTAGGTATTTTTTTGGTTCAGTTTATCAAAACACGCTGTTTCCACACGCCGAGCGCAATCTGCTCTGAATATAACGTGTTTTCCCTTAATTGTCATAAGTTCATCGGCCATAGGCGTGTGGACGAGAACTCGCTCGCAATCATTATTCTTATGTCGAAGTAACTAAAGGTGGTTTCTTTTGTTCTCTACATTGAAGGGATATTGAGACATACATTCACACTGTGATCGATAAAGGGGGCATTTTAGAAATTATTGTACCCTATTGTGCTAGAGTTCAACTTTTGTCCCCTTAAATCTTGAACAAACAAGGCATTTCATAGCACTGGGCGCTGTGTGAGAGTTACAATGTACTTTGCTCGATGCATTTCGAAGTGTGTTATGTAAGTGAGCTTTCGTCCTCAAGTGAAACCTCACAAGAACCAACTGTTATATAAGCCGACACGAGAAAAAACACGTAATTTTAATAAAAGAAATCTTTTGACAATCTTCGAGGATAATGGGAGGTTTACTTCTCTAACTAGACATAAAAATTTTTGCATAACAGTTCAACGAATTAATTCTGCAAGATTACATAACCGTGAATATCGCGTGAGATGCTGCGTGCACATTATGTCCGGAGCCCCTCGCTAACGCTATCATTAATTTCTCTTTTCTAAAATTTATTATCATCAGCCTAAAAAAAAAAAAAAGAAAGAATTTACATGCGAACAGTAATGATTTAACGCTTGCCTTGAACGCGTTCAAGAGCGCCTGTAGGAAACATTTAACTTACTTGAATAACATTTGATTCTTGAATTTAAAAGTAACCAGACTTTCTCTCTGTAGAACAGAACGACTATATGGAAATTCACAACCGTGAGAAAATTCTAAGCAGATCCACATAAAAGAAATGAAAGACGTACGTTGTAGTCACTATTGGAGTCAAACGCAAGCTCAGGAGATAAGTCCATGTGGACGGTGAAGAAATCGGTTCCTTGAACCAGATAAAACCCTTTAAAGTTAATTCAAATAATAAATACTTCTCTGAGTTTTTCTTTTGGTCTTCCAGGCCTCAAATAAACAGTAAAACGAGGGGCTGAGTCGTTGAAGATTCGATTCCGTAGAGAGTTATTCATAAATTATGTAATCAGTAAAGGGCCAATTTTCAGGTTCTACGGTTCCATCGGTGTTCGGTGGAAGAGCAGAGCCCTACGACAAACCTCAGCTTGAATCTCCATTTTGACTAACTAAACAAAACAAGTAATTTGTCATTATGGCATCCTCTAAAACTTTTTGAGTGCGCTGTTTCGAGCAAGGAGAGGTTGCCTTGCATGAGCTTTTGTGGGAGTTTAGTACTGTTTCTACAACCTGTAGCACGGTGGGTTTTGTCTTCAAGTCTTGACCAATTCCCGAACATCTATGATCACTCCTTTCTGTACAACGATGTTCTAATTCGACAGCTTTATCATCAATCTGGACCATATCTGCGGCCGTTGATTCAAGCTTCCCAAATGGAGTTATCAACTCGACGTCTCGTAAAACTCCCATGAATTCGTCGATATCCATGTATTGATTGGCGTCGAGTTCTTGATCAATTTCTCTAATTTTCCCCGTGGTCATCTCCTCGCCGACCTTTCGAAGTTCCAAATTATTCTCCATTCCTTGAGAGATCTACAGTGCGCTCAGAACAGACATCGACATCTACAACCTGTGCATCATGCAACAACAACGTAAACACCTACCTCACCACTCCACAGACGACGTTTTGTCACGTTTTTAGGCACGATTATATAACACTGGCACGCGCACGCGACCTTGATTGATTCGGAAGCCTGGGGGTTCCACGAGCGTGCGTTTCTCGAAGGATCCGAAAACTTTAAGGAGCAGTTTTCGGGTGATTTTCGCGGGTCCCTCTCTTGGCTGAGTGCGATTAACACTTCACGCACGTTGAACTCGATTGGGGAGAAGAACAGTTTGATTCGAACTTTTACAACGTGATAGTTGAGAAATGGGAAATCTAGCCCCATGCCATTCTAAAACAAAGCCGTAATTTTTAAAGGGCTATCCATGGTTTTTCCTAAATGTCTGCTCACTTTGCCATCGTGCCAACTCGCCGATAATTACTTGTCCGGATAATTAACTCGCCGAAGCCATTAGTCAACTTTCCGACAGCATTAGTTTTTTTTAACTCGTCAATATCTTCGGTCACTTCGCCAACATACCTTTTTTTCTGAGACTTAACCTTTAAAAAGAGCTAAATCCGAGATTGATATTCAGTCAGACTTCAGTCAGACTTCAGTCAATAGCTTCTTTGAACAAACAGCAAATGCAAACCTATTTTAATTTGTTAACTCAGTGAATTTCTGCCAGTTATCTAGAGTGAAACATAACAAATGTTTAGTGTTAGTTGTTTGATTTATTTAAAGCCATGAATTCTCATAGCAAATGGCAGAAAATGAAAGAAAGTTATCATTACTGAATTTCACTGGATGTTTGACTGTGTAGTATGAGTAATGTTTGCATAAAGCTACGATAGCCCTGAGAAGGAATGTTGTCAGTATCAGTGATTGACGTTTTGACAACCTGAATGGAAGTCATCATCAGAGTCAAGTGAAGAGTTGTTGTCAGTCAAGTGTTATAAGTTTGGTTTGTATTCACCCTTCAACCATGATCTGAAAGGTTCCTTGTTGTCTTAATTATTTAGCATTGCATATATTCACCTTGTTTACACTTATTCAAGCTGGATCCGATTTAACTTTGATTTAGAGCGTAATAATAATTAGTGTTAGCTAATTTTTTTATCAGTACATAACAAATTGTAACAAAAATTAGTGGCAGCAAGTTGATTGAAGTTCTCGCGAGTTGACATTGAAAAATTTACCAGTGGTGTCCTTGAGTTGACTATAACGGTGTTGGTTAGTTGGTTGTCAGTGAGTTGAGACGTCAGGGAAGTGAATCGCAACCATTCACGAAATGTATGCATGATGAAGTATTGGGTTACACAGGAATCACATCTGATTATGCTCTTCATGGAGAATCATTTTTTGTTTCTTACATCAGATAACAAAAAATTTGCTGGTTTTAAAAAAAGTTTGACCTTAAATTTGTAACTTAAATGAAACTTTTCTTTACATGTCACTTTTTTTTCACTTACAACACATACACAATACTCTGAAAACTTACAGCCACTTAGATAATGTTTAAGTAACTTCCAATAAACATAAGTATTTATAGCTCAAACTTTAATTTGCAATCAAGTTACAATACTGTGACTTCTAAAGAATACCAGTACTTACAATTACTTGCAAGATGATTTGGCTTCTAATCTTTGAAATGTGTCAGTCAGTAAGAAAAAAATCTCAGTTTGAATGAAATACATATAAAAACATCATACCATGGCATGTGCTTGAACTCATTGCCATGCATCAAAAAAACTCACTCATTTGCTGTGCCCACTCAATGGTTTTTTTGATGCATTGCAACTCTAGAATAAAAATCGTTCCTGTGCACTTTCTATGAAATAATCTCTATGAGTAACTGGGAAAACAACAAAATCATGAAATAAATACTGCTACAGTTTGCACATTACCTTTTCCCAGAAACACAAGAACACTCCATAAATATTCCTGGTGTTCATAGGTTATTAAGTTTCATGGTAAATCACTGTAAATCTTTCAAACAATAGACCACACTTTCTGTCAGTTTCTATCAAGAAAAGATTGTAAATCACTTGTCTCCACCTAGTGATTTATAAGTGTTCTCCCAAAAACCCAAGTGGATTATTACACTGCTGCAGTCTATTGTTTTAAAAAAAAACTTAAAACAGAAAACTGTATGTTTCAATTTTCTGTGGGTTAAATGGTGCAACAAACCATAGGTTTTTGACCAATCAGGGTGCTTGTTCTATCTCAGTTACTACAAAATATTTATGGTATTTGATCTACTCTAAACTAATTTAACCTAGCTCTATTTTATTTCAAATTCACCACTACATGGCTGTTAGCACTTTTTTGTAAGCTTATCATGTTGTCTCCTCGTCACTACTCCAAGAATCCTGATAAGGATTGTCAAGTTGTTTTGTATCACAGATACCAGCTTCTGTCACCTTCCTGTTTTCATCCTTAATACTACGGTTCATCTCAGGAAGCCAAACCAACACATTTGTGTCATTTGCTCCACTAAACAGAGTTTGAAAATGTGGATGAAATGCACAACAGTTAACATTGTTATAATGACCACTGAAAGTGGCAACATGTTTTCCTGTAACAAGTTGATACACTTCTATTTTGCTCCCTGAAGGAACAAATGCCACTTCGTTGGAAGTCCCACTGGATAGACAAAGCTTTACAGATTTCCGACTGGGATTGTGAACGCGACCAAAGTTAACCAGTGTGTTCTTTCCTGTGAATGTATCCCACAACCTTAACCGATCATCTGTTCCAAAAGTCAATAAGTATAATCCATCTGGTGAAAAAGAAATGGCATTTACATTGCCATTATGAGCTGTGTTTATTGTTGAAGATCTGGAACCAGCTTTGCCATTGTGCTGATCCAGTGAGAGTATACTTCCAACAGCTTTGCGCACATCCCACAAGAGCACCTTGTTGTCACAGCTACCCGTAGCTAAAAGATACTCATTTCTTGGTGACCACGCTAGAGAAACAACTGCCTCTGAATGCCCCTTTAGGATATGCATTGCAGAACCAGATTTCAAATCACAAAGATAAACTCTAGAGTCCTCACACGCTGTTGCAACTAAACAATGTCTTCTAGCATTCTTTGGCATTTGGTGTTGGTACACAATGCCTTCAAGTTGAAAATTTTCGACAACTTCGAGAGCATTTGTGTCCCAAACTCGAAGCGTCGTATCGACTGAACTTGATATAAACATTCCTGTGTCATTCGGGTACCACTGTACAGTTTCCACGCTGAGTTTGTGGCTGTCTTTCAGTGTTCCGTCCACTTTGGCGACCGTCTGGCATTTAAAAACGTTTGAGTAGAAACAATCCTCTATATCATGAATAGCGATCCCGCCATTTGAACTCGAGGATAACAAGTATTTTCCCTCGCCTGTATCGATATCAATACATTTGATCCCCGTTTTGTGGACCAATTCAATCTCGCCATTTTGACTGAGTTTCAGAGATCGCACGCGTTTCGTTCGCTCAGCTTGGGAAAAGCGATAGGTAGGACACCTTGCTTGTTCTCTCTTGTAGAGAGACTGAAACATTTGATGTTGGGAAAGATCTTCAACAGGTCCTTGCCGAGTGAAAGCGAAAGTTGTTGAATAAGCAAAAATCAACCAGGCATTGTTGTGAGTATGGTGTGTGCCAGATAGGAACTGGGTGCGAAAAACAAATCACCATGGCAGACATGTGATGAACCAGCGCTTAATCTAATAGTAAGGATGCCTCTTTCTTGCAAGATCTGTGGTAATAAAGCAATTCTAAAGCGACCTAAAACGGTAAGGAAAAACGATTTTGTTAACCCAACTATGTTTCGAAATTTTAGAATGTGCCATCAACCGGCCGGTTTTCGCGACGAAAGTTGTCAGACGTGACAATGATTTTCATGCTAGCCGAATTTTTTAGTTCTGATGCGCACGATGATTACTCCGTGACGCTTTAGTTATTCTTATTCTATGATTATGTTTCCTTAAGCATTTAACCCCTAAGAGTGACCAGTATCTAATTTCTCCGTACTGTAATACTGCTGAATTACTGTATTACGGTCAAGAGAATAAAGGAAAAGTTCGCCAACCTAAGAAGATTTGAATGTCAAACGAATTTCCTTGTCAGTACCAAAGGAGATGAATACAGGAGAGTTTGAAGAATATGTATTCTGATTTCAGGTTGTAGAGGGTTAAGCTATTTCTTGCGTTGAAGTGGTAAAATTGTAACTTGAAGAAAAATGCTATTTACGTGTATACTAAACACTTGAACTAGAAATTTGCTTTGAAATCAAATAAGATACTGGGATCTGGACAAAGTCAGGCTAGGAAAGAGGGATCTATTCAACTTCCCCTTCCATCTCCAATTAAGGGCGTTTTTTTTAGTGTATTAACCCCAGAAGTGATCAACTTGTAACTTCTCTTCACTTTTTAAATATATTATCTGCAAAGAGGTCACTAAGAATTGAAAAAATAATCAGCTGAGCTTATAAACTTGATATAAAAGAGATATGATCAGAAAACAAATTTTAAATCTACCCTTGTTCTTGCGCAACTGCAGGATTATCCTGTTTCCCAATCACGAAGGCAATTTCGTCCCAACACCTGCCAAGTCATCAGAATGACAGTGTATAATACATGGTTGTTTGTAATTCACAGTTTGTTTGTCATCCCATAACAGGGTGATGCTTTGTGCAAGGATTGTTTCTTTGTCACATTTGAGACAGAAGTCCACCACACAATAATCTCCAATAAGTTGTTTTCAAAAGGGCAAGTTGTTGCTATTGGTGCATCAGGCGGGAAAGGTACATGTAAAGCAATCAAACTCTGCAGTTTCATGTTGGTGGTATATTCTTTCAGCGGGTCTATTTCAAAGACCATAAAAAGCTGGCATAACTTAATGTCAAATTTAAAAGTTCATGTTAAATAAACATTGGTGACAGTATGAGTAGCACTTAAATGTGAAGAGCAACACCTACTTGACTGGTTCTGTAAGATAGGCATTCTGACTGGAATAATATCCAACCATGGGAAACCAGTAATCAGTGAAAATTCGTAGTCTAAGGCTACCAGTACATAGAAGCAACAAGTCAAATACCGATAGTTTTTGTTTTCTGATCATTGATTAAATCAAAATATTGATTTTGCCATTTTTTCCACTTGAAATGTTGCCAAGATATTACTCTCAAGATCGTTAGTTATTATGGCCAAGTTTTTTTTCCTGATTTTTTGGACAAAGACAAAGCTGAAGTCAATAACAATGCCAGAAAAAAAAACAAGCAAATAACAAAAACAAGAAAAAAATAAACATACTAACATACTGTCACCTAAAAGTTAACAAGTTTGTCAACAGGCCAGAAAAACCTTTTTTTATGGTGTCAAAGTAGTTCTTGGGTTGTCATTTATACCACAGGTTAAGTACCTTTTTTTCTGGCTCAAACAGCCTGCCATACAGTACTTAATAGTAAAGTTGAATGTAGGTTCTGTTGTGTTCTTTGCAGATTCTACTGTATTAGCATATGTGCTGAAAAAGCTCAACCAGGAATATGACTATGGATTAAAATTGATTTTATTGTCTGTGGATGAAGGAATAACTGGTTACAGAGATGACTCTTTGGAGGTATGAACACATCAAATAAATGATCTGTATGTAAAAACGCTGATTAAAAGGGAATGAAAAGTTAGAAAAATCGTTTACTCTTAGAAGGTGATGTGGGATACGATAATAAGTTTAACTCCTGACCTGTAAGTTGAAATTTTGTGTAGTTTATTTGAAGTTATATATTGTTTACAATTATAAACTTGCCTACTCTATGTGACCAGGAAAAATCTCAATTTGTTATAGTAATGATAAATTAAACCCTTAAGCTTTAAGAGTGACTATTATCAAATTTCTCCTTAAAATAATACTGCAGAATCATGTGAACGAAGGAAATGATTGCCAACCTGTAAGAAGCTTTGACGGTTACAAAAATTCTCCTTGTCGGCACCAAAAGAAATGTTTAGATACCAGTATGGAGAATATCAACACTGATGTTGGAGTGTTAACCCTTTACCTCTCAGTTCAAATTGATAATTCTCTTTACTGTCAACTATATATACAATTCTTATAATGTTGGTTCAGAGAATTTAGTATTGGATCAACTAATTATCCCCAAATTGATATTTTTCTTTATCCTCATCACTTATCTGGTTGATATTGTATTGATATTGTAAGGAGAATTTCTGTCTTGGTCACTCACGGGAGTTACAGGGTTAAGGGTTAAGCTTGTCAGGTAATCTTACTATTGTATGTGGGGTCCATAACTTTTTACATGCACCTGATATTAAAGATTGATTCATGACATATAATAGTTCAAAAAAGGGAGTAAACAATGGTCTTTTTAATTAAAATTTGGTTTTTATTAGACAGTCAAGAGAAATGAAATGCAGTATGAACTGCCATTGAAGATTGTCTCTTATGAGGTGAGAAGGGCTTACATTGTAATCCTTACTGGTTTTGTTTTTCTTTTTTTTTTTAATCATTACTGGTACAGTTTGCTTCATTAGTACATGTATGTTAATTAAGCTAGTCAGTGCTTTTTTTTTTTTTTTTTTAAGACATTGATAATATTTTCCTGACAAATAAATTTAGAATCCTTTGAACCCCTACTAGTGACTGGCTTCTTATTTCTCCTTACATTGTCATCCTTGAATCAAATGTAAAGGTGCTGAGAGTAAAGGAAACGATCCCCAGTTTAAGAAGCTTCTGATTGTTAAACAAATTCTCCTTGTCAGTACTATTGGAAATTTATTGATGACAGTATGGAGAATATGACCATAGGCAAATTAAATTCATAAAAGTCTGCTTCTTCACAGTGTGAGGGCACAGGACTTTGATTTGCAGTGGGAGAAATCTAATACTTCCCATTTGCCATGGCATCAACCATTGATCTTATGACTTGTGTCTGTATTTCTTAGTTAATTAAGCTGCAAAAAAAACCCTTCACGTTCATGTGTTTATGGTTGATTAAGAACAGTAAAGGTTGTAAAGAATATTTAATGTCCATCATTGTTAGGAACTCTATGGCTGGACCATGGATGCTATTGTCAAACAGATTGGACTAAAAAATAACTGTGAGTATGGATTTCTTTTTTGAATATTATTATCATTACTGCAGAACAATGAATCATAAAGTTGACAATATTGATGAGTGCTGTTTCTAGAAATGATACTTTGAAAGTTGCTGTTGGCTGAAAGGCTGATTCTTGGATTAATACAGTCTACTTGCTGTAAATGATATTCTTACAAGAAGCTCCCAAGATCTGATTTTCAACTCTCTCGTCTAGCTGCTACACATTTCCTGGTAAATTAGTTACAAGCATTTGGTGTTAGATTAAGATAACAACTTCTACCTGATCAGTTTGAGTGTTCTCATGGACAATCCTGTGGACAATCTATGGATATCATTAGGAGAAGATATATGTTTATCACAACTGGGAGTTAAAAGGTTAAATAAATATATTTTTTTTATTGTGCCATAACAGTGACTGTCACTTTAAAGCTTCCTCACTTTTTGTGGCTTGCTGCATGTTCATAGCTTGCATTTTATGTTATCTATTGAATCCTTAGATGTCAAGATTATAAGAATATGTTCTCAAAATTTTGGTTTCAAGGTTATAAATCTTTTGTGTTGTTGTTGTTTTTTTTTAACTTGAATTAATGCAGGTACATTTTGTGGAGTTTTTAGACGCCAGGCTCTTGACAGAGGAGCAATGGCCTTAAAGGTTGATAAAATAGTGACAGGTAAGAAGTGTCTCTCTTGTATATGTAAATTCATAACTGCAAATTACTCTGCTGAAGCCTGATGGGAAAATTTTTCTCCAAAACAATATTTATTGGCTCAGAAACCTTGATTTCTATTACATAATCTATATGTTATGTGTAGAAGTGATGTGCAGGTGACTTGTTTTTGTTCTTTTCATTTTATTAAATTGTATTCCACTACATACATGTAAGCGTTTCAAACAGTGCATACTTACATGTGTGGAACTCTTCATTTAGGCTGACTTTTAAGGGCTTTCCTGAAATGATAACAAGTTTCTTAACTTTGATTTTGCAGGTCATAATGCAGATGATATAGCAGAAACAGTTATTATGAATAGTAAGTAAGGAAAAACATTTTGTTTAAGTGTCAGACTTGTTACTTCATTTAAACATTGTTTTGTGAATTTATTTTTGTGAAGATGAAGAGGATGGATGCTAATTGTGTAAAATTTCACTTTTATTTTAGTTTTACGAGGGGACATAGCTCGACTGAGAAGATGTACTGCTATTATCACGGTAAAACTACATGCTTCTTTATCTATTTAACTAGCATCACAATATGAATGTTTTTTTCTCTTGGTTTAATCATTATGTATGGTATTTCCTTAAATAAATGCGCAAGTGTCTTTTTGAAATTTTGGCTGAAAGGGGAAGCACTTACTGGAAGGAGGGGGTTGATCAATGGGTGCCCTTATTATTCTCCTGTACTGATTTCACTGTTGTTGAAGCTTAAAAAGATAGTTAAAGTGGCAATGGAAACAGGTTTTCCTTGTATCTCCACTATTTAAGAAAGTGAGGGGGATGCTAGTTTGAAATTATGGCTTAGGGGGACTGGATGCTTATTCAGAGTGTGGGTGCCTATTTGAGGAAATACAGCATGTGTATAAGTCTAAAAAAGCTTTCTATTCTATTGAACTTAGGGTACAGAAGGCTTATTACCACGCTGCAAACCATTCAAGTATACTTATGAGAAGGAAATAGTAATGTTAGTATGACTCTTTTTAAGTGTGTCTTTGCACAATGTTACTGAAGAAGGAAAAGGAGATGCACACTTTGATATTGATATTGACTACAAACATCAGGAACTGAACATGCAAACTATTTACATCTTTGATGCTAATTATGCTCTCTTTGTAAGATTAAAAAAGTCTGCACTTGAGCCAAGTGGCCCACCCAGCCAGAGCTTATCCCAGCTTATCATCAGGCTTCCCTTACAATTTGCTAGTACCCATTTATACACCTGACTCTCCTGGGAGGAGGGATGTACTATGAAAGTTAAGAGTTTTGCCCAAGAATACAACACAATGACCCAGCCATGTCATGAACCTAGACCTCTGGACCTGGAGTCCAGCACACTAACAATGTAGGCCACAGCATCTCTCACATTCTGTAAAATAGGAAGCAAACATTCTAACAACACTGTACTTAATGGCTAGCCTTGCTCTGGTCAGTGGAGATGAGTGTATGAGCAGCAGAGAGGAAATTGGCTTTTTTTTTTTTTCAAATGAGTGTTCCCCTCATTGTCTCTCTCACTTGCCAACTTCAAAGTGAACTCAATAATTAACTGGTGAGTATTTTATCCTTTGTGTTAACTGCAAGTTCCTATTAACTTTCTACTTTAATGACATTTTTGTAGGTATGCATACTTCAAAAAGCTGGATTACTTTTCTACAGAGTGTATTTATTCTCCAAATGCCTACAGGTAAGCATGTGCTGTCATATTCTCTGTGAGTGATGTACAGTAAGAAGTACTGTCAGTTAAGTTAATTTTTAGTAGACAGACTCAAGTTGTAAGCAGATTGTTTCAATTTAAGGCTGTTATGGAATGTTCCCCCAAGAGCTTTCATGCACTTGACCCTTTCCTTGTGATTAAAACCTGAATTTGACTCCTAACTATTTTTTTGTTTCAAGAATAAATGTTATCAATAAGAGGGTCATTCTAGTTAATTACTGTATTCATGAGAGTTTTTGGGACACAATAAGCCCCAATCTAGATTTAATGGCCATCAATGGTAATGTACCAATTTGTAATTAGCTATTATCTTAAGTAAGGCTTTGAAAACATGGTGATGTTTTTGTGGGGAGGAGGGGAATTATTTGCCAGACCTGTGTACCAACTAAATGTGGATCATTTATTACAGGGGTCATGCCAGAACATATCTTAAAGATCTGGAGAAAATACGTCCAAGTTCAATCTTGGGTGAGTTAGTAATGAATTTGAGTTCAGTAATTTATGCATACATTTTAAATGGCCTCGAAATGGGAAATAAATCGCCATCAAAATGTGTATATCAAAATGATTGTGTTTGGCTGCAAGCATGTCATGAAACTAGGAGTAGATCTTCCAAGAGAGATAATAATTGGGTATTAGTAGACTGAGAGTGAATTCTGGGATATTCAAGGGCATTGGACAAATAGGATATGTAATACTTTCAAGCTGAATGAAATAACAAGAAGACACAACAAATGAAATAGAGTATTTACTTTGTACTTTGGGATCCATTCAAAACAATACTACATGGACTTCACCAAATATACAGAACAGTGTTTCTGCCTTATTTTCAGTACAACAGGTAAAAAAAATGTTCAAATTTGAAGAGCAATTCTTTTACCTGTTAATTATCAAGAATTACGAGCAATTTTAAATTGTAATAAGAGGTACTACAGGAAGTAAATTTTACCAGATATGGCCTGAAAAGGAGAATACTGACAGAGCGGGGAAGCAAAGTTGAGTAATTTGATGATTGTGAACATTGGACTATTGTTAGGAATTCTTTGGATTAAGAATACATCAGACTCTCTTGATGTCATCTTATTTATTTTTATCAGACATAATTCACTCTGGAGAGAGCTTGTATGTGAAAAAAGATGTAAAGATGCCAGTACAAGGTATTACTTTTATAAAAGAAATTGTGATTTTACATTCTGGTACAGAACAAAACAGCACTGACAAGTGTGATACTGTACTCAATTTTATACCACCAGTAGACTCAAGGTAACAAAACCAGGATGAGCTCTAACAGCATCAGTTATTTAGGATGTTTAAAGACTTCACTCTTTTAGGTGTCCTTAGGGAGGTATTGTGTGTTGGAGCTTTATCTAATAAGGCTACCACTACACATAGATTTTATTTATACCTGGTGGTACATGTAGGTTTCTATTGTGTGAGCAAGCACCAGAAAAAGTTAAATCCATTGGATAACTTTCATTTGTTTTAGGTTTTTGTAAGAGATGTGGATATATATCAAGTCAACCATTGTGCAAAGCATGTGTGCTGCTAGAAGGACTCAACAAGGGATTACCTAAGTAAAGAGTACTAGTCACATTACTTGAAGAAGGTTTAGCAGGAAAAAAGTTATTGAAGGGTTAATACTACATCAGGATTTGTTTTTAGAGGAGTTTTCCCAAAAATGTCCTGTTTTCTGACAATACAGCCAAGGTGTTGAATTAACCTACACAGAAGTGGAGATAAGGCTTATTCATTTGGTAAATTAATAGCACCTTACAGTCATGTGAAATCTAATATCTTAACAAGCAATGTTAATGCAAGATGGAGGTAGAGGCAGTATGATTCTCACATTCATAGACCAAGATCTTCAGAAAACATGCAGAATACCTATTATTTCTCAAATGTGTTCAAAATCTGTTAAGGGCTTTGGAGGCCTCAGTAAAATTTTTAACTTTGCAAAACATAAGAACACCCCCTTTCTAATGTCCAATGTATATATTTCACCTCCCTTTCTAATGTCCAAGATATATATTTCTTCTTAGGCTGGGAATTGGAAAAACAACCAAAGCTCAGGTAACTGTGATGATTTTTCAGTATTTCATAATTTAACTGACTCCTGTTGATAATGTTAAAGTGATGAACTAAACTACTGGTAAAAGTATACTTTTAGACCAAAAGTGTCAGGTGAGACTGAAATTGATTTCATCATCTGCTACCACTTTAATTTGGATTTTAATCTGTTTTTGTTGTTGTTGTGTTTTTTTACTTTCACTCTCCCACTGCAGTACTCCTTTTTTGTGCTTTTATATTTTTGTCTTATGAGTAAGTATGAATTACCAGTTAATTTACTTGTACTTTATTCAGATTGAGGTCTTAAGCAGTGCTGATTGTGGGGCAGATTCAAACTCTGGAAGAGAAGACAGCAGCACAAGCACATCTCTGGAATTTTGATCTGACTTTCATAATAAATTATACTTGAATTCAAAGCTTGCAGTGAGTTCTTGTTTCTTTATTGTACATGGGGCACTTGGTAAAACAAAAAGTTTTTCGTTTTGATAGTTTTTGACAAGTCGAAACCAAAATACATTGATCCAAGTGATTATTTTTATCTGCAGCAGAGATATTGCAGTTGGTATTACCTGATACTGTATCACCAAGGTTCTGCTGCTATCACCCTCCAAGGTTTTTGATGTTTACTTTTTTAACATTTTCAGTCTAAGATAGACCGAGGAGCTTATTCACCTAAAAAATAAGTTCAATTTTTCTCATTTCTAACACCACCATGCATGCAAAACTGAAGCTATAGACAGCCTCAGCTTTCAAGAATCATCCTTTTGTATCCAATTCAAAACGGACTTTTCTCCACCAAACGCTAGAATCAGTGAATGGACCACAGGGTAACCATTATCACATTGATAAAGCAAGTTTGACAGAAACTGTCGAGGAATAGGCTTTTCCAAACATAACTCTTGTACGAAAAGAGACACCAGTTCATGGACAACAAGGTCTGTGGGAAAAAAAATATTATCAAACAATAAGTGAATAATGACTCTAATTCACCGTTTTGCAGGGAGACGTTTACTTTTAATCAGGTGCGATTTTAAATATTCACGAAATCGTGATACAAAACCAGTTACACTTTTGAGAGGCCAATCGCGCATCATCTTAGCTGGGTTGCTTGGTCGGCGTGAAAAACGTAGGAGACAGAGGAGGCTTAGGCAAATGCGAAGTATGATCGTTTTTCCTCACGATCGTGTTTGGCGCTGAAGTTTCTCAACTTTTACCTCATACTGAAGTCGTTAATGACCCATTGAAAAACAGACGCATGACAACACGGAACTTCTGTGTTTTAAGTTGAGTAAAGGGAGTCAAGTTTCGGGGAGGTTCTTTAAGCCTAGGCCAAGAATATTTAAACAGCTCGGGAGAACCAGAAATAAGGTATTTTATACATATTCAACACAATTAATAGGTAATATTGACCCGAAAGTCAGGTACATATATATCTTGAATCTAGTTTGTCGTAAGCTTAGAACATAGGTCGTACTCCGACCCAGAGGCTGTTTTGTAAAACAGCCTGATATCTTCACCGTAGATTGTTTTTTAACAAAAGCTTGATGATAGGTCTCAATATCAAATAATAAACATAACCTTTAGAGTAGTGCTGGTAACGATAACAAGCTAAAGGCAATCAAGTCGTTTGTGACTTTGTAATCGGTCGACTTACGGCATTCTTTATGTTAACAAAGAGTGGACGGTTGTAGTGGGTCTGTTATCCCACAGTGCTACAATCTAAGTACCAACATGTCAACTCTTTTCATCCAAATTGCAAAATCAGTTTTCTGACGAAAACAAATATCTGTTTCAGACACCAAAAGAACTGGACGTCACTTGACACCCATACTTGACCGGAAGAGCAATGCACAGGTATCAAAGAGGTCATGGGTTCAAATCCCGAACAAACCTGAATTTTTTTCCAGGCCTTATTTTCAATACTGCTTATGTAGTGTTCATTTCTGCGAAGATCGCTTTCATATTCAATACACCACTCGTTACTTTATGAGATAACGGGTGTTAGATAAATATCATACCTTGATCTTGATGATCACGGTCCTCCAAGTCACTGCAAGGATCGGGAAGCAAAGGAAAAATCACTTCTTTGAGCTCTTTAATTATGTTATTGTAAGGCTCTTTGGATACAAGCTGGAAAACTGTCGGCTGTGGTGAACTTTCTTCCTTACCCTGTAGTTTGACTCGCTGCACAGCAGCAAGCAGAACGAGACAAATCATGTTGAGTTCCTTCATCACTGTCAAAAGAGAGCTCTTAGGATCATCCCGTCTGAGATCACCGATTTGTACGGAGCTCTTTGTGTTTGTGGGTGGAACTACTCTAAAAAGCTGCAAGATAAGCTTGACTTCCGATTTCTCTGTCACCAATAGATCTTGAAGCGTAAGGTCTTCCACAAGGCATTTTTTAAACCAACGCAGCAGCGAAGGAATGCAATTTATTCTTTGGTCCTCGCCTACCAGAGGAGTTTCAAAGTTCAAGACTTTTCTTTGACATTGCGCTAATCCAAAGTGCCAGATTAGACGAACAGTGAGATGTGTTTCCACGCCAGACGGTTTCCATGTTAAGAGCACTGCTAGCAATGAAGAGAGACTTTCTGTTTTGAGATTAGCACGCCCTTGCTCGGGAGGTGCATTTGTAGTTTTTAGAACCCCGTCACACTTTCCAGACAGGTTCAAAGTTGTAAGCAATTGATTCAGCATCACCGTTTCTTGAAATGTTTCACACCACAAGCGCAACAAGCTAATAATACGGTCATATGACAAGCCAGAAGGTTTCCCATTGGTTTCCAGGCAGGTCAAAACGGACGCCAGAAGGCGTAAATAACGACAGATACAATTCACACTTGAACACGATCTGAAAATTGAGCAAAGTATGAGTTACGAAATAAATTAAAATGTTGCTGGTTAGATTACGAATGTCACTAGAGGTTCTTATTAGGCCCTTCTCTATTTTCATGATTTTATAGAGGTCGCCGTTTTAAGAGTTTTATTTGCTCAAACCTTTTGGCCTTTTTATCAGCGCAAGGTTCGCATTTGTGAGTGTTTTCTGATTATACGAAGTCATCTTTGATTACAAGCCTTAGTTCTTTCAGTTTGATTGTCATATGCTCTTTACTGTAAACAAAAGGAAGGGAATGACTGTAGAGAGAAAAGGCCGCGATGATTTCGCGTTATTTCTGCGTGCTTTTGCAGAAGAAGCCAAAGGCATTTTGAACGATCCTCAGCTTTTGAACCATTTTAAGCCTTTTTTGGAACAACAGAAACGAATGGCTTCTAAAAGACGCATGGGCAATGATTGATATTTAGTTTACGATGAAGATAGTATTACCCTTCTGCAGGCCGGGTAATTTATGGAGTGATCATAAAACCTTCGATTTCAGTTTTGTGATACGAGTTAATAAATAGTCTCAATCAGTCACAATTTTTGTCTTTACCTGAGTTGCTCGAGAAGGGTCCAGCACACTAATGAGCATTCTGGAGCCAAGTTTGGAGGCCGTCGAGGTTTCTCCTCCTCGGTCACATGTCCACTCTCTTTGTCAGGAGACTGTAATGTAAACCAAAGGGTGTGTAGCAAGTCCAGACTTGTCTGAAGTCTTGCAGAGCTATTAAGGGAAACATAATATTTTTCGTTAAAAAGATAAAAAAAGAAGATGAAAACCGTCAAAGTCTTATGAGCCATGTAAATCATCATATGTTTTCTACATGCATGGTTGCGGGTATCTACAGAATCGAAGCAGAATGGAAAAGGATAACAAAAATCTGGAGTATATGACTTTCGTTCCAAATATCCTTTAAATTGCTGCAATTAAAACAAAGAAAGATTCGCAATAAATCGACTCCAGCGGCCTTGACTTCACTCGCAAAGACGTTGATCTTAAACGAAAAAAACTTAGCTTTAAACGGCTAAGAAACTTAGCTTTGTCTGGCATACCTTCTTGTTAAAACTCAGTTGTCACTGCCGAGTTTGTAACCACGACGCACCACTTCCTACCTAAGACTCCATGTCCACGACCCACGGTAATTTGAGTTACTCCTTTCTCCCGGACAAAGAGTTGAGTCCCAACCACTGTAACACCGTATCTCCCACAAATATCAAAGAGCTCTTCAAATTGCATAGTTTACGTACTTTCGACAAGTTTTCTCGAAGTTTTCACAAAAAAAAAAACACATAACCCCATCAGTTCTGTTTCGTCTTCCCTCTGTTCAAAGTGTTAAATCAGAATTGAAAGCTGAGGAAATGAGCCATTTCGGAAGATAAAGCGATCTCCTTTCTCAAAACAACAAACTATAAATTCTCCCAACCGTCTGCCATTCGTTTCTCACAATTTTAGATCGGGGTATTTGGTGCTAAACCAAACATTGCTGTTTTATATATTTTTTTCATTTTTCATTACCTTTCTGCTAAAGAATGCAATACAAGGCAAACCGTAAACTAAAGATAGGAATACCTCTTATAACACAGAGAGTGAATCCAGGCGACGATGCCATAGTTTTTGGTGAGATCATATGCAGCCGGTTGTATCTTCAGAGCTGAGAGCAACAACTGAGTGACCAACGTCTACACGAATAAACGACAACATTCCATTAAAAATTTTTACCATCTATATTCCGAGTTTACAAATTTTGTGACGCGTTTGTCCTTAGCTTATGTGATAAACATGTCCCAGATTCTCTAGCCACTCATCTCCGTTATTTAAAAATGAGTTCAAATATGGGGTAAATTACATATTTGTAGATATGTCCAAAGTTCGCTGAGTAAAAAACTTAAATAAGCATTTCCTAACATTCTACTACACAAAGGTGATAGAAAATGGAAAGCTATCAATTTCATAAGAGCTTTTAAACCTGTGCTAAAACCCAGAAGTCTTTTGATGTCTCTTTACACGAATATTCTCACCTGTGAGCGATGATCACTGACCAGTGAATCGTGATAGCTCAGTGCCAGCTCTATCACGTGACGCCGTTTGTAAAGATAGTAATCAGGGCTGTCCTTCATACCATCCACCAGGAGCTGTAGCATCCAGGATCGCTCGGTCGCGTGCTAGAGAACGAAGAATGGATACTCCCTTAATAAGAAAGCGACTATTTACATGTGGTACTCAGCTTAGTCCGTTTGCAGCCATCGTTTTGTGAAAGCTGAGCGAAGAAGCGCGAAGCGAGCATGCGAGAACGAGTGTAGAGAGCCAGAAACCACACCTGTTCCGTGGTCTTCGATTTCTTTAAATACACTCTTATTTAGCCTGCTCTTGACTATGATCTCAGGGAAATATGTTTAAATCTACCAGCGTTCTATCTCAAATGCTTGGCAGGGGGCGTAACCTTTTTGAAAGTTATTCAATAAAAACTCAAACCTGCCATCTTGTTTAGTTTTGAACATCTACTGGACTTATATCGAAAAAATGAGATCATAATCCCCCGATTTTTATGCGTGATAGTTGACTCGGGCTCCGCTCTCATCAATTGTAACGCGATAGAAATCTCCTACCAAAACTCTGATTGTTAATTGTTGATGCAACTTCAGGAGTGTTGCTTGCTCCTCAGAAAATAAATGAAGACGATATGCTAACACTCATTCGTACAAACGAGGGAGAAGGACATTATAAGAGGCAAAGTTCTTTCTTAAGGACAGAATACAATTGAACGATGAGGACCGTCAAAGATGGATGTTCCTATCCGGAGTCCGGCTCTCTGACTTCTTAGATACCGCCCCCTCCATATTTTAATTTCTCATGCAATACCCTCTCGTGAAATCGTAAGGCTTTTTGTGACAGTTCTAGTCTTATTACATATTTTCCGCAAGGGGAGTCTATTCTGTTATTTCTTTGGAATTCGAGTCACTGTTGTAGCTAAAAGTGTTCCTACCTGCATAGTACTGCTGTTGAACATGTTGTAAAACAACGGTAAATCCTTCAAATCCAAAGCAGGTCTCTGGAGCAAAAAGCTGTTCATCATAATGTAGAAGGGATGCTCTGTGCAATACAAATGAAACAAAATAAGCCAATCATTTTTTAGCGTAAGAAAAGCTAATACGTCAACAATGCCTAGTAAATTAGAGATTTTGGGGGTGCACATTTAATGCAGGTCAAGGAAGTCAAATTCTAAACTTTTTGAGAAAGCGTTTCCCAATGTCATTGTCGAGAGGAAGGAAGCAGTAAAGGGCTACGGTGCGAGAATAGTGTAATGTCCAAAACAAGTATTGAAACCAGCAACAAGTAATAGAACTAGCAAGAGATGTCATATTGATGAAACGTTTGAGTTATATCATTCTGTCATGGTTACAAAAAAACTATCTTAAATCATCTGCGGAAGCTCATATCGTTATGAACATTTTCTTATATATTTTGCTTGATACTTGTGGTCAGGTTTCGTACTCCGGTCGATCGACACGTGTTAGAATCTCAAGGTCCCTTTGTCAGACGGTTTTGATAGAAGTTTACAAAAGACTGACCTGGTTTCAGTAGAATGAGAGCCACACGAGCCAAAAAGCATGTCATCAACGAGGACAAGCGGCAATACTCTTCAGTAATACTGTTCTTCAAATACGTCAATAGATGAAAAATCTGAGGAAACAGATGTTCATCACAGTTAGTGCACTTTTCTTTGAACATACCGGTATTTACACTTTGAGTACGTTAATTAGAAAGTATGTATGTATTTCCTTTTTTAGCCTGTAGCGTAATTTCTTGTATTCTCTTTCGAAATAACTTTCAGTTTTGGGAAAGTCAACTCTTGAATCTCTCTTTGTGTCTGTCTATCTGTCTGGCTGCTTGCTTGCCTTTCTGTTTCTCTGTCTGTCTGCCTGTCTAGCTCACTGTCTGTCTCTTTCTGACTGTCCATCTAAGTGAGAGAGTACCAACCTGTTTTTTCTCCCTGAATCTTACGCCGTCAAGATGCATCATATATCTGCTGAGCACATGATACCCCGCTTTCCTCATGTTTCCATCACGTGAGGACAGGGCAGCCACTGATAAACCTAAGCATCCTTGCTCCACAAACTTCCGACAGTCGACTTGAAAATCTAGCAAACAGAACCAAAGATCATTAAGAAAGTTAGTGAAGCTCGATAACAAAATGCTTCGATGGCACTCTTCAACGCTCACTACTGAACAGTTATCGCGCGCTAAAACCGCGTTGCTTGTGATTCTTTTGTGCTTGGGTATCACACGTATCATCGGTAGCTTGAATTACTGAAGAGCATTCGCGAAGGAAATATCGAGTGTCGTAAAACCAAAACCAAAACCAAAGTAATAACAGCAACTATACACATGAAAGTAACAAATCACAAAGAGCCCCGAAGAACTCAAAGTAACAGCAAGCAACCTGCTTCAAGCGAAGAAGAACTCGAGCGTAGCGATTGGTTTTAGTTGTTAATCTAAATGCTTGAGAGACTGGCACGAATTTTCTGGATCAATCACAGAGCGAAGCGACGCAAAGCCAAAACAATCCCGGATTCCTTACGAAACACAACATAGAAATTTCTTTACTTAGCAATACCCAAAACAACTTTACTTACTTGGAGCAAGAAGACAGCTGAATAACGGAAGAAGGAAACAAGGGTCATAAAGATCTCGGAGTCCTTCACAAGCAACTTCCATCTGGACTTGAGGCTGGCAAAGAATGAAAAGAAATGGATGAAGACAACCTGACCTTCCGATTTAAAAACGATTTCAGTGCAATGTGTAGATCAGGGGTTCGCATTTTTCGGCCGCTTAAGCTTGTGCCAGGCTATCGGTCACCGTCGCTCTCCTTAACCTTTCCCCTCCACTTCCCACGTTTTTTCCTCGTTCTCTTAAGGTGATTGCCTAAAACAAGACTAGGGTGGATTTGGAACAGGGGACTTCCGAAACTGCGGGAGGGGGGAGAGGGGTAGGGATCCCAATCTGTCAAAATACCGGGTTTGCAATACGCTATTCGCCTAACTAGTCGCAAGTTTTCGTATAGTTGGATTAAATATGATTGCACATCACAACCAGGTACTGTGAAGTCACAGCCATGGATAACGTTCAGGCTAGAAACCTTGCTAGAGGAAAAATTGGGACAATATTGTTAGCCGTAGTAAAGAACTTCAACTGTAAAAAAAAGATCTAGAGATTCAAGTATGGTAGATATTTCTATGTCGTAACCGAAAGCCATCATGTAAGTCATGCCATGCCATGCTGACGAGGTTTCGTACAGCGGTCTTTCATTTAGTGTTGTGAATGAAACTTGGATGTTCACAACAGCCAATCAGAATGATTGATCAGAATCAGAAGTCAAAGTAAAGACAAACAAATCAACTGAGGCGCAGGAAACTGACGCCAGTGAACAAGTTGTCAGTACTTTCGTTGCCTCACTGGCCACACTGTAGCTTTCACATACCATTTACCTTCCCAAAATTTCATGAAAAAGAGTTCAATTTGCCAAAAAAAATCCTACCTGTAAAAGCCTGCCCTGAGGAAAGGACACCGCTGACTGGAACATTTTGCTGGCAGCCATTTGTTCCATCACTTCAGTGACAGTTGGTTGTTGCAGTAGGGATGGACCCAGGCTCTTGGAGACTTGATGATGGCGCGCAGCAGCTGGGCCCCAGAGAAAAGGTCTGTCAAGAAAAGGGTGCCTAAAGTAAGCGTTATTTTAAAGAATTACATTGTCAATGTGTCGAATCCGAAAAGTCTCCTGCTTCACGTAGTTGCTACTATTTCCATTTTCCCAATAATCGTTTCATCGGTCACTTAGTATAAGACCAGGTTTCAAGGAACTGGAGTCAGCATTCTGTTTAAAGAACACGCCTTGGATGCTTATTCTTACAGATATATTATCTTTGAATTTTTAATCTGGAACAGAAAATGTACTGTGGTGGCACATTTGCGTTATCTGTAATCACCTTTAACGCGCTAGACTTTGGATCGAGAGGTCTGGGCTCGAGCCCTGGCCGGGTCACTGCGCTTTCTTATAATTCTAACAGTGCGGCTCTCCATCTTGGACTACAGATGGGTACCAGCAGACTTTGAAGGAAACGTCACCAGGAGTGGGTCCAGCAATCCCAAACTTCGATTCCGAAAATGCAGATTTTTACCCTTATCTCAAATAAACCAAGATATGTTTTAGGACAAGTAACTCTTAGATACTTCATAATGAGTGGTAATATAAGACCCTGTGTTCAGCAAGAAGTAAAAAATGCCCATGGGTCTGATGAGGAGGGCAACAGTGTATTGAATCTTTGACTATAATCGAAAGCTCAGAGCGGATCCGTTAATTTACATTACGATAAACTGTGGCAATAGCGTATTGAATCTTTGACTAAAAGCAAAAGCTCATAGCGGATCCGTCAGTTTACATTACGATAAAATGTGGCTACAGTGTATTGAATCTTTGACTATAATGTATTCGTATTTATTCGCAGTTACACGAGGATTACCTGTAGTTCCTAAAGGATATGTGGTTTTTCTCATACAAATTCATCAGATACAAAATAGACTGATCTGGAAACAAAAAGCAGATTCATGCTAAACTACGGTGATACAAAATCCATTTTCCTCACTCAAAAATGAGCTCTATAGCATCGGTGACAGTCATGTACAATGTACACTAAGGCATGACTGGGCAAAAAAATGAAAATCTATTTCTAGAATATGTCTTTGAAAGCTTGCTTGCCTATTAAGAAACATTATCTGTAAATGGGAAAAAAAGGAACTCTACGGCAAGGCAAGAGATACGACGAAAATAAATATCATTTTTTTGTTTTCTTAACCAGTTTGAATTTATTTGAACAAAAGTGGAACGGGTCTGTAACACCGACATAAAAGAAAAGTAATCTGGCAACTACTGGCACGATTCTGGAAAATTTGGAAGTGGACAAAACGAGACCAAAGAGGTCAATGAAATCGGTGAGGTAAAATTATCATTCCTTTCAGTAAAATTCTTGAATTTCCACCAAACACTTGAATTTCCAAGATCTGATTGTTAATTCTCCCCTCTAGCTGCCACACATTTCCTTGTAGATTAGCTATGAGAGTTTAGTGTTAAGGTCAAGATAACAACTTCTACCTGACGAGTTTGAGAATTCCCCTTGCATGTTTGCTGGATAATGTAGGTACATTATAGGGAGAAGTTACATGTTAATCACTTCCGGAAATTAAAGTGCTAAGAAGCCTGGTCATTGTGTGAGTTAAACAGCGCTAAACTAGTTTCCAGGTGTTTCTTAGTCAAACCAGTACACAGTACGTCACTTTGTATTACGGTCTCATGACCTGATTTGGTACAATGACATCAGTGAAGGAACAGTAAATATAAAAAAGACAAAGTGTGTGCACCTGTGGCTGACAAGGTCGCCGAATATGCTGCAAACAGCACAGGAAGGTGTGAAGACTTGCAGCAACTAGGACTTAGTTCTACAATCGTGACCATCAGATCTGCCAGCTTTTCTGTGAAAAGCAAAAAAAAGGAATTACTGCCCATCGATCCATCAATTAATCATTCACTCAATTGTTTAAACAATCCGTCAATTCGCCCGTTCATTAGTCAATCTCTTAGACATATTTAAGCGAATACATGGTTGCAAATCAATTTAAGGAGCTACACGATGGTTTATGCCTAGAAAGAACTTTTTCCAGATATGCACAAAAAAAAAAGAAAAAAATTTAGTGAGTTATGTAACTTAAACGCAACATGCAAATAAACTAGAACAAGCCCCTCAAAAGAAAAAGAAAGAAAATACTTTGAGATAAACCCTTTCTACTTCCAGCAAATCACTTACTCACTGAACTCAGTCTTTACCTTTCGCATCCATGTTCTTGTCAGTACTAAGGAGGATATCCAAGAACTGAGAATGACTCAACACCATTTCATACAAAGTGTCCAGGGACAAAAGTCCATAAGGGAGACTCTCTCCCTTGTCTTGTTTCTTGTAGATGGCCTTGATAATGCAACTCAAAATTCGAAGAACTTCGGAACTTTCAAATTTATACCTGAAAAGCAACCAAAAGAGTTAAAGGACTTGACTCAAGTTTCTTTTACATGCAGAGAGCGGTTATCATGCTTGATAGCGTGCTCCGTTTACCTGCAAAAAGACAACCTCTGGGACAAAGATATGCATAGGTTATGTCTTCTTTAGATTGGTGTAATACAACTTTGTAATTCTTCTCAGCAAAGTCGTCTTGCTTGTTTATTTGTGCAAGTCTTGATCTGTATTCCTCCCGGCCGTTTGCGCCATTTTGTTCAGATTGTTCGGAATAAGACAGTAAAAGCCCGCTTCTTCGGTACGACGATCTCGTGCCGCATCTAAAGATCGCCCAATCTGTACACCCTTTTGAAATGGTATTCTATAACTACATGTTCCCAATGGCTACTGTAACCTTGTCCTGAATACAATGAGATCCACAGAAAACAATGATAGGGTGGGGGTGGGGGTGGGGGTGGGGGAAGAAGGGAGTTAAATGCTATTGTTGTCATCGCAATGTAAACACGCACATGTAACTATGACAACAATTTCGACAACTCAAGTAAAACAGGCAAGGACCAACATGGTGAAATCAGGTATACTCTATGATTTTTAGCATTACCTTAACGAGTTAGTTACAAAGTTCTTCCAGGTTGTCAAGCAATCTTCATTCACGATACTGATGCTGACTGTATTCTGAATAACAAGATAAAAAAAAAAAAAACTTAGGACTTCAACTATTTCTGTTGCTCTCTCTCACAATCTACACTGCCTAACTCCAACAACTTGTTGAGTGTTCTTTTTTCTCTTTTAGAATCCTCAACGAAAACATACCTCGCAAATCCATCCCAGAGAATCCAAAGAATTCTCCATAACTTGTTCATTGTCGCCGTTTGTATCTAATTGAACCGATAATCTTCATGTTAATAAACCTTCACTAGCAATTTGCTGATAAGTAAACTGGAAAATTTGACAATTTGCGATGAGGAAATAATAGCTTTTTTACCTGTTTTAATTAGATTGCTGGACAAGAATTCCATACAGGCAAAACAAAATTTGCTGATAATATTCACTCCATCTTCATTGGTAGAAAAGTTGCGATATTGGCTTGTTAAAAGTTGGCGACAAATTCTCAGCTGGTATCTGGAAAAAAAATGAAACCTTAAACTCTTATGAAAAGATTGAGAACAAAACCTTCCGCGTTTATCCTTTCAATTCTCGTTAGCCGCAGAATAGGCCATTTTACAGTTGTGTGCTTGGTTGCCAAGTCTTTGATTTGGAGTTGGGCCGAAGGCGACCTTTTTGTGATAAAGACCAGTATCTAGTTAACATGATCACAAAGTAATTTACATTTGAAAAGCAGCAAGGTTTGTATCATAACAAGGTCAACCTTAGCCTCACTTCTGTTCAAAGGCTTGGCAACCAAGCACACTATTGCGACTTCACATGCCTGTTTTAAAAATTGAAACACTCTTTAAGTCAATCAAACATTCATTAATTTAAAGAACTGCAAACACACCAATTACTTCTTCATACGAGCAACAATACCTAGAGTTTTTTTTAAACTTACACCAATTCGTTTGAAATCAATTTTGCAATCTTACTTATTGTAAGACAAGAGGGGATGAGTGATTATAAGTGACAGAGTTACATGTCAACTTACGGCTAATTTAAGATAAAAAATTAAATTATTGCTCCTATTTTTGTAAGCAAAACAAGGTCACATCGTTTCCATCTCAAAATTATATAATGTTCATTATAATTTGAAGTGGTGTGCTGTAAAAGCGCGAAGTTGAACCAAGTATCTAAAATAAGAAAAATGCTGAATTAAATTTCTGTACCTGTCCCACAAAGAAGCTCTTGTCAAAAGTCCGTTGAGCTGTTTCAAAAGATTGTTATCTAAAGGAGAAATCAAAACAGGACATTTTTTATCACATAGTAACAACGGGCGAATGTCGTTTAACAACAATATTACTTTGCCTTAAACTTGTACCCAGAAAGTTGAAAGGAAATAAGTGCCTTTCACTTTAGCAATGTTGACTTTGTTGGCTCATGAAATATTTAATTTGTATGGCGCGCGCATGTGGCAGCCGTCACAACAATTTGGTTATTCAAGATATAGAGATATGGAACATTTGCACTACTAACGTACACGACTGAACGTAAGAGCGTCGACAAAAGACACGACACGAATTAAGAGGGAAAGTAAGGCCTCAGTGAAAATGACGAGATTTTGTACAGCTATAAAAAGTTCGGGAGAGCATCGACGAAAATCGCCAAATTTCTTCGTTTGTATATAAGGCCTTGCACGGAATTCGGAAGTCTGGGGTTTGATTCTTCTTGGAAACTCAGAATTTATCGCTGTCTTACGTTATTACGTTAATGCTGTTGCAGAAATAAGAAAACTTTGTCGTTTTCGTAGCTGCGTTCAATCCTAAACATAACATTCACGTCAGATACTAACCTTTTGGCATGTGAAGTATTAGAGCAGTCAGCACGTCCATGCTTAATTCCTGTAGTGAAAAACAGAATATTACATTTGCGCGTTTCATCGTTCTTGTTTGTTGGAACGTTTGAAATAATAAGAATAAAAAAAGGATGTCAGCATCTGCATTTCTGCAAGAGGTATTGACTGGGAAGTGAAAAGAATTTATTTCTAATTCCCAAAAGCGATTATCAGGTAACTTTTCCAAACATTGTCCATACATTATTCAGTAAACAAGTATTGAGAATTCTCAAACTTATTAGGTAGAAGTTGTTATCTTGATTTGACACCAAATTCTCGTAACTGATTTTCAAGTAAATGCGTCGTAGCTAGAGGGGGAAATTAACGATCAGATCTTGGGAGTTAAAGTGTCAGTGTCAGTCAAGTAAGAGATTCTCAGAAACCATCGGCTAACTTAATTTTGTGAAATTTTAGTATGCTATCCTCAACTTTAAGATTCAACACACTCTCCATCTGGAACCCTCAGTCATCCATTGACGAGACTTTAAAAACGCTGTTAGTGTCCCACAAGTGTAAACACTCCAAAAGGCAAACCCTTGACAAGGAACGATTCACAACTTGGAAAGGGATAGATTTGGCCGTATTTTAAAAAGCTGTGATTGGCTTTATAATCATATCTTCTAAGTAAATTGAAGAACCACTTAAACTCCTGTTTTTTTCCGCTTTTGATTTTGCTTTAACTCATCATTTATGTTTGTGCCTTGGTGATGGGGACTCGGTAATTGTTCCTAGGTTTTGACAAAAAGCTAAAAACCACCGAGTTCCAGCATTATATTTTAAATCACCTCTGATCCTTTGAAAATTCCTTCCCTATCACTAACTAGCCACGCCCACAACGGTGCCCAATACAACTCAACCAAATGGGACACAACTACCTGTGTTCTGCAACCTACAAAAAAAACAGAACTTGCTAAGATAACAGTGCAAGATGGAATAAGCCCAGTCAACAAGTTGAGCTCTTATATTTTCCTTTACTGACCTCATTTTAATCGAGTTTAGGTGAGAACATCATTGTACATAAAATTTGCGAAGGATGAAAGGGGGGGTCATCAAAAGTTCAAGTAAGACGAATGCATGTTTATTTTAAAAAACAACTTGGGCCCGATTCAATCATCTGAAAAACGCTTGTGACCAAGGCAAGATTGGTCTTATTTTTGTTTATAATTAGTTGCAAAATGCTCCATCAGCATACACATGAAGTTTAACTTACCTAACTTTTCTGCGCTTATTCCTCGCATACAAAACAGGTACGATGACACCACAGGGAGGAGCTCTGCCGGATGTTCCTTGAGCGCCACTGGAAACATTGTACAGGTAATGTCAAGTGCTTTTGGCTTCTTCCTCGGCTTTGGTTTATCCAAACAGCGAAGTTCAAAATGCGACCTCAAGGAAGGACAATGTTTGATTAAGTGAGCTGCTATAGCAATTTTGGCTTTAGTCGATTGGTTGAGACAGATGTCTAAGAAAGTGGCCGTTGAACCCATTACATACAACATAGACTTTTGCAAAAGTTTTAAAATTGTGTAATCTAGCTGTGGGCAGTTCACATCTTGCGATATCTTGACCAACTGCCTGAAGTGCGACAATAAAAGTGGTTCTTCTGTCTTTAATGGATTTCGCCCAGATAACAAAGGCGAAAGATGATCTTCACAAAATGATTCACCCTCCAGCAAAGTCAACAGAGTCGTGAGACACACGGATGGAACTTTGTCTCTTGACACCGCATCAGTTGTTACCAGCATGTCGGAGGGAAGCTGAGATAAATGTGATATGAACTTCACTTGGTTCTCTTCGTCACAGTACTCGTGAAAAAGACCAAGAAGGTACAGAGCTTGGGAAGATGAAATCACTACGGATGACACAAACCGTTTGATAAGTTGCAAATGAAGTGGAGCACAGTGTAGGTATAATTATCGTTAGTGATACTTATTTAGCAGTATGCTGCAAATCCCAGACTTTACCCCTTAACCTCTAAGAGTGTCTAGCATCTAATTTCTCCTTACAATATAACCCTGAATCACACATTAAGGTCACGAGAATAAAGAAATTGATCACTTCTTAGCAAATGTATAAAGAACAGTATGGAGAAGTATGCATACTGATGTTAGGAAGTAAAGGATGAAATATAAATGTGTTTTCGTTTTTTTTTTATACTTTTTTTGTTTTATCTTTTTTTCTTTGCCAAAGCTCGAGACAAGACGAGAAAATATCTTTTCCTGTTCACTTGTTATTTTATTGACTTCCATGACACTTTCGATGTTAATGATCATATCAGTTTGTAGGATATGTATCACTAATGCTGACCTGGCTAACAACAGGGTTCTCTACGGCTCAGTGATGGGCATCAGAGCGCACATAGGCTGCACGTGTCAACTGCGACTCAGTACATTTAAGTTAGGTAAGTAACTTAAATACCTTATTCATAAATGCTTATGAGGAATCAAGCCAGGGGGTAGTACCTAGGAGGGTATCTTTGGTTTCTGATTTGCTGACTGAGCATGCCAAACATAAACTTCATCCAAAGGGGAAGCCAGATTAAGATTCTTCTGGACATGAAAAATTTTTTCAAAGTGAAGTTCAGGCAAGACATGGGAGAGCGAGGCGAAATCACCATTAACAGATAACTACCAAACTTCGCTACCAAAGGATCGGTCACATGGCCACCAAAGGGCGTGCCAACAGAGCTTAATTTAAATTATTTGTTTGATTAATTCTTAATTACCGTTTCCATTGTTGGCAGATTCAATCTCCAGCATACCCTCCTTGCAGATCTTGGTGACAAAAGGAGCCATCAGAATCCTCTTCTGATGAACTGTTAGACTTGGCAGCACTGCTAGCAACACGTTGGCGACATTATACGTCAACTGTGTACCAATATTCCAGGGAACATGACCAACCAAAGAATGTTCTGGCCTCCAAAGAAAGCAGTCAAAGATCACTGGATGATGGAGAATCGTTTGGTAAATGTTGTCCACATTTGAAAATCCTTGGCATCTAGGTTCGCAGGAATTTTGTGGAGAGTCAAAACTTTGTAAAGAAAAAAGCATTTCTCCCTGATTGTGGGTCTCGTGCGAGGCATTTACCTTGCCTTCTGACATCTTATCTTGAAGTGACGCTAACCGTTGCAACAGACACTGAAGAAGCTGAAAGCACAATTGCATTGCAGAACGAAGCATGCAGTTTTCAGGTGAAGTACGAATCACGACAAGTTTTGCTTTAAGCGAACGCAGATACAAGAGGACGTGGCAGCAAAGTGGAATGGTCTTGACTAAAGGCTCCTTTTCTAAGGCCTTCACCAAGAGGCTCTGGATCCATGAATTGTCTAGAAGGCTGGAAGTTTCATCCTCAAAGGATGACATATCTGTTGTTGAAGTCTTCCATTGATTTACAGTTTTCTTTACACCTTGTATAGCCTCTCCGAGCACTTGCCAAACAAGGACACCAAACGGAAGGTCTTGCAACAAAGGGGCAATGTCCTCTGTAGCACTAGAACCTTTAGAACACAAGCAGACATGTGACAAAGGTGACACGAGAAAGAGAATTAACGTATTTTGGCACTCGAGTGTTGAATTGATGATGTAGTGTGATCGTCTCAGTGTGGATGCTACTGAAAATGGTGACAGTGACTACTGAAAATCATTAAGCATTAAAGTCAGGTTTTTAGAAACGTCACACACTCGACACCAAAGACAATCCTCTTCAACACAATCCTTTCCCGGACAACAGATACAAAATACATTTGAATACACTTGAACAACTGTTACTACCGGGTTCAAAACCTTCAATAAAATATGAAGGAGCCATTTTGAAATTTTTCAGGGGTTCCCGTGTATTTTTTGATAAACAAAATTACCGTCAAAAAGAGAAAATCTCATACAGTTATTGGTTCATAACTGCAAAACAAAAGCAATGTGGTTCAAGTACTGTTATCTTAAACAGGAAAGAATGAACGTCGAGCAGACGAAAGGAAAGATTTAAAATCGAAGGAAACACTCGGGGAAGGGTCTACTAATATTTTTTGCAGTCCACTCTAATCTCTCCTATCCTTACCTATATTCTTGTTCCTGTTTGTCTGGTTTTGTTTTGAATTAATCTTGGAAACTTTTTATTTTGAAGTTATGGATATGCCCACCATGCATTTGCTCACCTGTAATTCTGTAGTTTGTGACTTGCAGAACTTGAACAAGGGGAGAAAACTGTCCACTAAGCTGGTTCTTACAGAAGTCAACACAGTCAGTAATGACTGTACCCAGCTGTTCTTCATCCAAGAGCTCAAGATGACGGTTCAATTCAGCCGACACTGTCGCTTTCTCTACAAATGAAACGAAATCAAATGTTCATGTTATTTTGAGTCTTTGCACATGATCTTCCTCTACTCGGCTGGCTCTGGATCCCACCTCACTACTCTTTCCATTAGGAAATTGTAATTGAAAAATAATCACACCATTAATTGCAGTTGTGGAAAATAAGCCTTTAAATATATTATGAAGCTTTTAAATGTCAGAGATAAATCGCTCATCATTGTTGTTACTTCCACAATGATGACTCATACATCTCATATTTATTTCTGAGGCTACTGCATGCCGACAGAACTCACCTGTGGGCATATTGAAACACCTCAGACCTACCACACATTAAAATTTAACCACGGAAGTGACCAATGCGTGATATCTCCTTACAATGTCAATACATTTTCAACCAGAATGGTGACAAGAAAAAAAAAATAAATAAGCAACGGGGGTAACTCTTTGCTTTTGTTTCTCCGCGCTACAGAAACAAAAATTTGAATCTGAAACAGAGAGGAGAATCTATATTTAGATCTTCGAAGTGAACGGATTCATCCCTCAGAGACTGCGAAAAAGGCGTCATTTTTGTGTTTTCAGGCGGGAACACAAGGCGTGCACCCCTTATGCCTTTGCTTGTCATGGGTTGCCTCCACCTGCAAGAACTAACGCAGACGACGGCTGTAAAAGGCTGCAGGCTAATCCCGCTGGGCATCATCACCTCTAAGTATCATCTACTGTATAAGTTGGCAAATAGAACCATACACAATCAACGCGGGAGGGGGGCCCACAAAGCCCTTTTACTCCGAGGATGTGAAAGCCAGTCCTCCTAAATAACATCCTACAATGTACACTTCTTCACAAATTATTCTCGAGAATTTAGCGTCGTTGTAATAACATCCTCTTGTGAATAATCTTCTTAACTCTCAGAGCTTTCCTACCTGATAAAGTGTCACTTTTACAAGAATAACTCATGTATTGATTACTCAAGGAAGTTAAAGAGCTAAAGGGTTTTTCTTACCTTGCTCGTTTTTCACCATTGTTTTGCTCAAGAAGCTTTGTAGCTGCTTTAAACTGTTGTTGCTGGTCTTTGACGGTACCTAGCGGATATGAAATTATTTGAAATGGAGAAATGAAAATCATTCACATGCATTAAGAAGATATTGACACATCCACAGAAGATGTGGTTTTGATTTCATACATCAACATATTAAGCCTCCTTTATGATAGTTAGTATAATTAAAAAAGGACCAGGCACACATAATACTGCATCTATGAGTAGAATAAGTGAAACACAATGCTTCCTTTGCAACTAAAATGTAACTTCTTTTCATAACATGAGAATACAAGAATTTTACGTTCTCATGGTCAGGTCCTTGCATAATAATCTGCCTTATGTTTGAAGGAAGGAAGATTCCAGACCATACAAAGCCCAGAACTCTTCCCACCCTTACTGCGGCCTATTTCAGTTAGTGCTAAATGTTTTCTACCTATTGCCACTATGTTTGATGTCAAGGTCACCTCTTTTATTTTGATAAAAAATACTCTGTTTTCTTATCACAGTTTCAGTTTTTTTTTCAGTGACATCTCATTCAGTAACAAAGGACACAGTGCAAAGGAACTCATATCAGCAATACCTTTAGATATTCAATCTTGTCCTGTAGTTGAGTGAAGCTGGGCATCCAGTAACTTAGATAATGCAGCAAAGCTTTATGTGCACTCCTTACTGTAGCCATATGTTGTGATACTTCAGTGTTGCTCACATAATGGCACACCACAAAGCACAAAATGGTTGGATTCATTGCACTGTGAATCATATCTGAGATGACACAATTCATGTACTTTGCTATACAACCTGAGGAAAAAGAGAGGGACATTTAAGAAGAGAAATATTAAAGCAGCAGCAGAAATAGACCTGTTACAATTTCATATAAAATAATCAGGTAAAAAAGCTAAAAAAGAAGTGAGCATTTGGGACTAAAATCTAGCATCAAGAGGTACTGGTTCAATCCCTGTCCAAACCCAAATAATTATTTAAACATATTTCTTACTGTTGAATGAATTACTTACAGTTAAACTGTGAAGATCAATTAGTACCTTGTTATCATATCTAGAGGTCAAAATTATGATTTTTTTCATATTAATTAACTTAATTTTTATGACTGTTCATAATAGGACCTACCTAAAGGGAGCACCTCTGCTTTTTCACCTGGTTCAGTGGCATTTGAGATCATCTCACAATATCGCTTCAAAGCTCCAACAAGTAAAAGACTTACAGGAAGACTGAAAGAAAATGAGTTTGAATTACTGAGAAACTCAGAAAACCATAACAACCAGAAATATTCCTGGAAGGTGATTCTGTTGATGGAAATAAGCCAATCAGGGTTGAGAAATCTTAACAGCATACAGAGGTCCTAATAACAGGTGCAGTTTAAGGTTTTGTGGTTTACTGATGTGTATATAAATTCATGCTATATGTATCTTTAATCATTTTGATTTTCCATTCCTTGCTTTTGGCCCCAATCAAAAGGACAGAAGGCTGATAGAGCCAAGATATTAACAATCTCTTCAGGTGCATCCCCCTACTTTTAAATGGTATTCATATTGATCACACACCTCCTTCTAAGCCAAGCTACATGTGAGAAATAGGATGATCTCGGAAACATTTAATGTGGTTCATTTTTCTTTTTATCCATGGTTCACATTTAAATTTCCTGGTTCATTTCAAAGTTATTATAATCATGCAATCCATAGCAAATGCTACATATGTAGTTCTTGCAAAAAAACAACAAAACCAAACAGACCTCAATAAGAGCCAATGAATAAACTGTTTGAATATAATTTTAAATTGTTTTTATCAAGGAAACTTAGGTCAAACCTTGTATTGGAAGACTGGGTCCAATCTGTTGGGTCCAAACCAAACTGCAGAGCACTAGCTTCATGTGAAACTGCTTCAGCTTGCAGGTCGATCACAATGTCTGTGTACAGGTATGGCTCAGAGGCTACAGCCATAAAGACTTCATCCAAAAACCTAAGAAGTGTCTTCGTGTGTTCTTCAAACTGACTGTGACACAGATGACTCAACCACATTTCTACCTCATTTGCATGTGGAAGGCTGTTCAGTAGTCCTGTTTCACTAAGGAGCTTCAAGAAAGGCAAAAACACTGTTAATCGTAACCATTACAATTTCCTCAAACATGATTGGTGCATTAGCTGATTTATTTTTCATTAGTCATTCTGTACAGTTGTAATCAGACCGTTGGCTGTAATCAGACACCTGCAATCGGACAGTTGAAGCAGCAAATCATACTACATGTAAGTCCATTCAGCCAAATCCATTAATTACAGAATTGATCACAATAACCATAGCAACAACCACAATAAAAAAAATTGGGGAATTTCCATATTGGAGGAATTTTTTACTTTACACATTTTCTCTAAAATGTTTGTCCTAAATGTATGTTTTTCCAGAAATTGTAAAAGTTATGATTTATTGGTAACAGGACTTTGTGTTGCCCAATTCTGTCTGTTATCATCTCAGGACTACTTCACAGTTGTCCGATAATCACTCTGACTTATGATTACAGATTGAATTGGACCCTACTTGCTCCTATTACCATTATAAATCACTGAATGTGTCAAATTTTCAACTTCATTTAATCCCATCTCAGAAGTAAATCACCTGTTTCTATCAATTCTGTCAAAGCACCATTTCATTATTTTCAATCAATGACAGACAGTGAGTCAGTCTAGCTATTAGTCATCAGACAGTCAGTCTACCTCTACATTGTATCTCAGCTATTGAAAGTATTACAGTGACTATACTTCTCACTTCAGCTAATAGTATGTACATGTACCCATAGTACATGTCTGAATACTTTTCAAAGAGCACCCTGTCCCATTTTTTTCCTTTATTCCACCCTCCTTAACAATAGAGTTTGTCCATCAGAGAATCTTATTTTCTGAATTTTTCACCTTTTTTTATATTCACATGCTAACCTTCTGCACAAGCTGCTGGGCATCTGTCTTTATCTTTTCATTCCTTGCTGATGTGTACACATTTAGTATTGAGTACAGAAAGGATGCTGAGCTTTTTCCCTTCTGATAGGACAAAATTAAAATTAAAGCATATAATGTAATATAAAGAAACAAACTAAAAACAAAAGTTAATGACATTCACCATTTACAAATCAAACCCTTGAAACACTCAAGTCACAAACTCTGCTGCATGCAGCCCCTTCTCCTACAATGAAATTAACTTGCTTGTGTTTTATTTTCTCTCTACACTGCAATGGAATCCAAATGGGAAATTGCACTGCTTCAGGATTGTTGCTAAATGACTTTTTGTTGCTTCACATAGTTCTAACACTCAAGTCACAAACTGTGCCACACACAGCCCTTCTCCGTCAGATAAATTAATTCCCATGTATTTTAAACTCTCTTTACACTGCAATGGAATCTAAATGGGAAATTGCACTGCTTCAGGATCCATGCTAGATAGCATTTTGTTGCTTCACAATAAGTTTGAATGTTTTTTAAACAATCCAAAATTACAACGTACACGTGGAGTGAGGAACACAACCCACTAACCCTAACCTGAGAGAACCTAAAAAAATACTGGTAGATTGGGGTTGGGTTGCTTGAACAGTATAAACCTAACCCAAGCTACGAGTAAATTTTTTCCTTCTGTTTTGAGCTTTGGAGCATTAAAAGAGAAATCTAACTCAATTTTAATCCTGAATTAGTGCTAAATGCTCTTCAATTTAACAAGCTGCTGTATCAAGATTAAATTGACACAATTTGGCCATTTAAATTGACACTTGTAGAGAGGGTAAATGGATAGAGACAGGAGGAAGAAAGAGGAAAAATAATTGAGCACAGCAGCTACATGTACAAAACAAGTTCAAGTAAAAGAGTTCATGTTTTGCCTAAAAACACCAACCTGTTGAAACCACTTTAAGTTGCCAGGTGGTGCGTGGAGTAAGATCCGTAAAGTTAATTGCTGTGCAATAACTGGCAATTTTGCTTCCTGTTGCCCTGACAACAACTTTCTGAGGTCAAAGTTGATATGGGAAAGGAGTGAAGGACTTAGAAGCTGAAAGCCATGGATTATTTTCAGACTTTCTGCAAGGAAGATTGTTGGGCTTGCCAAGTCTGAAAATTAAAAGCACAATATTGAAATGACAAACCTATAATTGTTGTCTTAACCTTTTAACTCCCAAAATCTCACAGCTAATTCTCCCTTCTAGTTGTGAAACATTTTCTTGCAAATTAGTAATAAGAATTTGGTCTTGGATCAAGATAACAACTTCTGACTAATAAGTTTGAGAATTCTCATTACCTATTTGCCAGATGATGTATGGATATCTTAATGAGAAGTTACATGTTAATCACATCTAAAAGTTAAAAGGTTAAATCTCATTGTAGGTAGCATTCAACCAGGCCTGAGAATAAATTCTTGTTTTCTTTTTGTGATAATAAATTATCAGGAGAACCTGAGAAGATGCTACCATGGGTGGGGGGGGGGAGTGAAATTGCCATGCACTAACATTTCATTCAGGTGGGGAAAAGCAATACCTCTAGACTCTTCATTAATTGTGGGTAAACTGAGACATTTCAGCCATATGAGCCTCTACCCTTGCAGGTACAACTTACATGTATACTGCCCCAGCCATAGGGTATGGGGGATGAAGAAACGAAACAAATTCCAAACCTTCTCCTTGTGACTTGCACAGGTTCTGCCTCAGTGAGATGAAAGTGTTTACGTCGGGTAATGCCTTAACAACCTCTTCTCTGAACTGTTGCACTAATGGTGCATCTGTAGTGTTTGCCAGGTCCTCTGAAGTATCCTCACTGGAGGCCAAACACTGCACAGCATTCTGTGCTCTGTTCAAGATTACCATAGCTGTGGGGCATACTTTGCACTCAAGCAAATATTTTTTAACTTTCAACCTTTCAACTCATGTAAATGTCAGCACTAACTCCAAATATTGGATATCCTTGGCCTTTAATTTAAATTCCACACTTTCTATTAATGCCATCAATGTCATAGTAACACCATTTTTTTCTAAATTGGTTAAG